CCCTTTTTGAAAATGGGGGTTATATTTCCCTGTGTGCTGATGTGCAGCCTGGAGAGGGATGGATTTAATGACAAAGGTGGAAGTTGTTCAGACAGTTGGAGGTTTAAAAGAGAAAATGTGAAGTGTGTGATGCCTGGTGGAGGCTTTTTTTACAGTAGCCCTTCCTCCCTCCACAGTGGCACAAGGGTTGGTGCTTTCTGACAGCAGCTTCTTGGCTTGTGGCTTTCCCAGAGCTGTGCGGATTCCAGTGGATGGGTGTCAGTGGTCAGCTGAGACACATCTGAGCCAGGCAACGACGTTCAGCAGCGTGGTTTGCTGGACCTAGCAGGTTGTCATGCAGCTGCAGCCTGACTGTTGGCAGAGGCAGGGGGATTTGAGGTCTGCCATATGCCAGGGAATGTGATGCAGGAAAAAGCATCCTCCAGGTACCAGTCACATGGCGACCACAGCGCCACAGGAGTGTGCTCTGTGTGGTGTGGCAGTTCTGCGAGGTGCAGGGACAGTTTGCATGGAGGCCTGCTTACCCCACTTCTTTAGAGAATCTGCCAGCTATTGCAGGAGTGTTTCATTAGCAGCTCTGGAGCATTGGGAGCTGGAGCAGGTGCTGACTTGCCGGGTGCAGTGTTACTTTCCAGCCTGGAAGTGTGGAAGAGTTCTGTAGTATTTCTTGTAGCATGCTCCTGCTTTGTAGCATGCACTTCAAAAACTCTGCCTGCCACCAGTGTAGTCTTTCAGTTCTGTTTCTGTAACCCTGTTACAGGAGAGGAAGGAGGAGAAAGGACGACAAGAGCCCAAGGCTTCCCAAGAGAAGGTAAGTGATCCTCTCTGCTCAGTTCTGTTCTGAAGACTTGCTTCCCTTGTGTCCAGCACAGAGATGTTGATTGTCTCAAAGCCGTCTCTCCTGCACAGTATAGAAATCTGCCTTAAAGGTGGGGAAGCAGTGTGCCTTGTCTTCCCTCCTTCCATTACCCCTTGTCGTGGTTTAAGCCCAGCTGGTAACTCGGAACCACATAGCTGCTCGCTCACTCCCTCCCCTTCTTCCTTCCCCCGCTGCCGGAGGGATGGGGAGGAGAATCGAAGGAGTGTAACTCCCACGGGTTGAGATAACAGCACTCCAGTAACTAAGGTATAATACAAACCACTACTGCTACCAATAATAATGATAAGGGAAGTAATAAGGGGAGAGGAGACAATTGCTCAGCACCTGCCAAACGATACCCAGCCCGACCCGAGCAGTGATCTGGGCCTTCCCGGTAACTCTCCCCGGTTTATATACTGGGCATGACGTGCTGTGGTATGAACTTTGGCCAGTTCGGGTCAGGTGTCCTGTCTCTGCTTCCTCGCAGCTTCCCCTCCTCCCTGGCAGAGCATGAGACTGAGAAAGTCCTTGGTCAGAGTAAACATTACTGAGCAACAACTAAAACCATGGGTGTTATCAGCGTTGTTCCCAGACTGAAAGTCAAAACCACAGCACTGCACCAGCTACTAAGAAAGAGAAAAAATGGCTGCTGTAGCTGAACCCAGGACACCCCTTCTGTAGGTGTGGGGTTTTGATTTCTTTCAACTGAACCATCCACTCCCACCTTCTCCTGACCCCACTTCTGAGTTCATCCCTTGCTGGGCATTGCCCAGTGAAAGGTTTGGGAACTCTGTGTCTTCCGGAGTTTTCTCAGCTCTGGGGAGAGCCCTCAAGGAGGGGAGGGAACTCTTGGACAGAGTCTGTAACAGCACAGCCCAAACAGGAATACTGGAGCAGTAATCCCTTGCTCTCACATCATGGAGCTGCACTTGCGCTCGTGTCTCTTGCTGCTGCCCTGGCTTCAGAGCCCAGAGTTAACCGCGGCCCGTTTCCTCACTGCCGCCTTAGGAAGAAGCCCCCGATACAGTATGTGCGCTGCGAGATGGAAGGCTGCGGCACCGTCCTGGCTCACCCGCGGTACCTGCAGGTTCGTTGGGATTCCTCGCTTCCCGAATGGTGTGAGGGCAGGGAAGGGCCGCTGGGAACCGGCAGCTAATCCTTACCCAGCATTGAAGTGCTCGTTTCTGATGCTGTCTTTTGGGTAGACTTAATCAGTTGTGGCCAGATGTGGCCACATGTGTGTCTGTCCTGTTGCTAGATGTCTGCAATCTCTCGGTGGAGATCAAAGCCTTTGTGTTCATGGTGTAAGGGTGTCTTATCGGTGATTGGAGTCTGGTAGCCTGTTGCGGGGTCCCAGCTGTCCTCTTAGCCATGTAGAGATTATCTACAATCTTCCACTCTTTCTTTATAGCATCACATAAAGTACCAGCACTTGCTGAAGAAAAAATACGTGTGTCCTCATCCCTCCTGTGGTCGTCTCTTTCGACTCCAGAAGCAGCTCCTGCGGCATGCCAAACACCACACAGGTACTGGGAGGTGGGAAATGGATACAAACTGCTCCTTGGGACAGTGAACAAAGAGGGGGGGAAATGGAAAAGCCTAGAGGCTAGAGGATTTCTGGGGAGTGTGAAGCCAAGGCAGATGACATAGATGCGCAGCAGCAGGAGGTTATTATTTCCTTCTGGATTATGATCTTTATAGCCCATTTCTTTTGTTTCCTTAAGAGTTTTTAATTTACCCCCTGGCAAGTATCACTTGGGAGTTCTGTAGAGTAATAAAACAAGCCAAGCTTTATCCTAACTTGCCAGTCCTTCAGTATCGGTCAGAATGGATAATTGGCTTTCAGGAGAGTCTTAATCACGCCTCAACTGTCCAGATGAGCTGCTGTGGTGTACTTTGGGACTCCTCCTCTCTGCTATGCCTGCTGGCTTCCCAGCACTTCTGGTTCTGCTGCTTCTTCAGCAGCTTTACCTGCAACATGTGAGAGCTGGGAAGGGGAGCCGGCCTGCAGGAGAGTAACGCTCCAACTGGTATTGCTTTTTAGATCAAAGGGATTACATCTGTGAGTACTGTGCCCGGGCATTTAAGAGTTCTCATAACTTGGCGGTGCACCGAATGATCCATACGGGCGAGAAGCCTTTGCAGTGAGTACTTCTGCCTGTCTCTTGCTCTCCTACTTTGAGGGACCCTTGGATACACCCGTTCTTGGACTCCACTGAGAGCAGGGGCAGCTCTGAAGTCAGGAGTGGAACTTGTTCCTGGTGTTCCAGCTCTCTTTAAACACACACCTGTATGAGTGTTTGAGCTGCCACTTCTGTTACTTACTCCTTAAGTTAGTGTCTCAGGAGAGATCCGAGGAACGTAAGCCCTCTACATAAAACTGGAAGAGCTGGAGTTACTGTGACATCCCATTTTAGTGAGCCCCTGCTGTTTTCCTGGGCTGCCTCCCTCCTCTCGTGTTCCCTCAAGTGGGTGGGCACATCCCTTTGTTGTGACCTCCCCTTTCTCCCCTCCCAGGTGTGAGATCTGTGGATTTACGTGCCGGCAGAAGGCTTCCCTCAACTGGCACATGAAGAAGCACGATGCGGATTCCTTCTACCAGTTCTCCTGCAACATTTGCGGCAAGAAATTTGAGAAGAAGGACAGCGTCGTGGCTCACAAAGCCAAGAGCCACCCCGAAGTGCTTATTGCTGAAGCACTGGCTGCCAATGCAGGCGCCCTCATCACCAGCACTGACATCCTGGGCACTAATCCTGAGGCCATTGCACCGCCCACCGATGGCCAGGGCCTGCCCCTCCTTCCCGACCCGCTGGGAAGCGCTGCCCCTGCGGATTGCCTGCTGCTCAATCCCGACGGGATGCCCAAGACGTTCTGTGGCGCGGCCGAGCGCGTGAGCCTGGTGGCTGATGGGAAGCTCTTTGTGGGCAGCGGCAGCAGCGCAAACCCCGAGGGGCTGGTCATGAACACCGAGATCCTGGGAGCCACCGCTGAGGTGCTCATCGAAGATTCAGACTCCACTGGACCCTAGTGGGTGGGAGCACGCGGGTGCTGGGACAGTTTGGACTCTGTATTTAAAAGGAGGAGAAAAGAGAACGAAAGAAAGAAAAAACCAGGAAAGTTAAACAAAACTCACAATTGTAGTAAAGAACTGAAGGGTCTGCTCCCCTCCAGCGTGGATCACAGCACATCCTCTTTCTCGCAACCACTTCTCGCTCTCCCACTGCTCCTTTGCAGAAAGGGGCACATGCTGCCGTTTCCAGAGCAAGTTGGATTGAGCTACATACTTCTCCAAGGGGGGGTGGAGAGGGGCGGGAACTGCTGAAGGCCTTCCTCTAGCCCAAAGTAGATGCCGTTCTGGCTCCTTCATGTGGCCCCACTTGCAAATTAGAAAGAATTTGATGTGCTCTGGACAGGTTTCTTAGGACTCCCTCTTGCCCCCGGTCCCAACTTCTATGCATTGCTGCACTCTGGTCCTTGCAGTCTCTTTCTTCCTCCTGGGGCTGGGAGTTTGGCTTGGCACTTTAGGCCCCTCACGCAGCAGGGTGAGCTGTGGAGCAGGCACATCACTCTCCCCACCGCGCTCCTCTGCTCCAGCTCTGGCAGGAAATGGAGGGAACGCCCTGGCTCATAGATCATGTTTGCTTGGAGAGGCCCGGGGGCTACGGGAGCCCTGCGTGGGAGAGGCAAGGAGGAGCATCCCAGTTTGACGACAGTAATTTGCACTTTGAACATGCTTCGGGTTTGTGTTGTGGTAACAAGATTCCTTATTTATTGATTAAAAAAGGGTCGGTATTCTTTAGTTATGTTCGTAGGGGGTGGGGGTGGAAGGGGTTCAGGCTGTTTCCCAGGCTCCTTCGCACTAGTGAGCTGCAAGGGAGCACGTCGTGCCATCGGAACAGGAGCTGGGAGAGCTGAGGTGAAGGCAGCCTCTGGAGTCAGATGTGTCTCGCAGCTTTTCCAGAGTAGAGTGAGAGCCTCTGGAGAAGAGCCTGTTTGAAGTGGGAGCCTCTGCAGCAGCATTTTAGCAGGAGGATGAGGTGAGTGATGGAACAGCTGTCTCTTGCCTCCCTTCCTCCCAGGTCAGGGTGAGCTCCTTGCATTAAATGCTATCTTGGCGGCCCCACCCCCACCCCCCAGCTTTTCAGGGAAGAATGTCATTAGCCAGGAGCTTGTTCTTGAGACTTGGGACGGTTGTGAGCTGCTTGCTGCTGAAGGGATGTTGTGCTCCTCGTCCAACTCTGCCTCTCCTTTCCAGGTCTAGGCAAAGATACAGAAGCAGGGACTGGAGAGGGTTGTTCATCCACAGCAACAGACTGACGCAGGGCTCAGGGGCTGTCAGCTTCTCTCCCTGCCCCCATTCTGGGGGGAGGGCGTTGTGCAGCTGCGTTCCCAGAGCTGCTCTCTCCCGCACAAACAGTCCTGCTTTCCATGAAACGTGGCGGTTCGTGTGTTGCTGTGCAGTTAGGACAGCACTGAGCCCTTGGAAAAGTTTACATAGGATATGACGTGTCTGCTAGGGAGACTTGGATCTTTTTGCCCTTACCTGAAACTTTGTGTGGCGATTCAGTGGCCTTGAATTTGTAGTGCTTTTGGAGGAGGTGAAGGAAAACCTGCGCTTTTTGTTTGCTTGGTTTTTTGGTTGGATTTACGCAGTTGGGAGCAGAGCTGATGTATCTTGTTCTGAGCACATAATTGGCTGTATTGGCCTGTAGCACATAGCTAGGCAAAAGTGGGTGCCTGGGGTCTGGAGAACAGCAGTAAAACATGGAATTTAATTGGGAACTACTTACAGGAAACTGGCTCTGAACACCCACATTGTCCCCTATGCTGCCTTGAAATACAGCTGTGGCCCAAGCCTGACAGCTTCTATTGGGCCGTTTGTCCTGATTTGCCCCCTCTCTTTCCCCCTTACACTAATACCTTTGACGGAGCAAGTTCAAACACTTCTGGTGGTGGGGCAGTTCGTGGCTGAGTAGTTTGCACAGTGTCTGTGCCCCGGGTGTGGGCATCCTCTGTTCTTGCACTGTGGCAGAGATTCAGCTGACCATAAGCCTCTCCTGGAGATAAGGATGAGGGCCCTGTGTACTGAACACCCAACTCCTGGGACAGTGCACATCAGGTCCATGGCCATGTGCTGTTAAACCAGTTTCTTGCTTGGATCACATTTACTGTGATTTCTAGCAGGAAGCTTTTGGGTGCCCAGCCAGTGCCCTCCCCTTTGCAGCCTACAGAGAAGCAGCAGGATGAGACGTGTTCAAACCCAAACCAGCAGTGTGGGTCTTGTGTGGGGTTAGTCAGGGGCTGGCTAAGCCGTGTTGTGCGGGGGCACGTCGGCTGGCGCCCTGCCCCAGTGCCCGCCCTGCCACAGTGCCCGGTCCTGTGCCCTGCCCATTGCCTGCGGCACAGCCTTGCACAGAACACTACACTGAGGCTCGGGGCTTGCTCTCTGAGGGATGGCACTAAACTGCTGTAGGGTCAAGGGCTCACTCCCCTCTGGTGACCAACATGTGGCACCAGGCTGGGAGGCAACAGGGGCTGCCTCGTTCTGTAACTGCCCCGAGCGGAGCCAAGAGTTTGCCATGGGGTGTGGAATGGAGCAGCCCATTTGCTTCCCAGCCCGGACACCTCTGATCCCTGCCACTCCCTGCCCTGTCCTTCATGCACACCTCTTGTAGCAATCCTTTTTTCTTTTCCTGCTCTCAGCCTGTCTGTCCTCTAACCAGAGTC